CAGGGTGCCAGCCCCAGCCCGGAGGGGAGGGTGCCCCGGGGGGCAGACCGGCCATGCTGGGGTCAGGCGCTAGGGCAGGGCAAAGGCACGAGGAGCGAATGCTCTTCCCCCTCCAGCACCCTCACTCTGTTCCTCAACAGGATGCAATGAAGCTGCCTAAGAACACGCCGGAGGAGAGAGAAAAGTTTGTATTGTGGGAAGAGGGTGCCAGCCCCAGCCCGGAGGGGAGGGTGCCCCGGGGGGCAGACCGGCCATGCTGGGGTCAGGCGCTAGGGCAGGGCAAAGGCACGAGGAGCGAATGCTCTTCCCCCTCCAGCACCCTCACTCTGTTCCTCAACAGGATGCAATGAAGCTGCCTAAGAACACGCCGGAGGAGAGAGAAAAGTTTGTATTGTGGGAAGAGCTGAAACCCAAACGCTGCTGGTCGAGTCCCTGGGGTAGCCCATGAGGTCGCCGGGAAGTCGGAGCTACTCAAGTCAAGGGATGGGGTCCCATTGGCTTCAAGAGCTGTAGCTCAGGCCTGAATGGGTGGGGGGAGGGAACAGGCGAGTGTGTGTGGGGGGGAGGGCGCGCGCACACACTGAAATGCAAAGCTGAAGTGTGACTCCTCCGACCACTAGGCAGGAGGCTGGGTGACTTGCTGGGGCACTTGGGTGGGATGTTTGGACACGTGTCCGGCTTTCGGCGACTTCGTTCTCTGGGCGTGCCCCGCTCTCGGAGGCCCGTGGTTAACGCCCCCGGCGGCTCACTTTGGGCTGACGGAGAAGCCAGCCCAGCGCTTGCAGGGTGGTTGGGGCAGCCCGCCGGTGCGGTCTCACCCCTTCCCGCGAGGGGCTTGCCCTTTGCAGTCAGGCTGACCCTGGCTTACCTCTCCCAGGCGCACAGCTGCTATGCAGCAGGGGCTGAAGCGGGCCGTGGACGTGCCCTTCGCGCTGGCGGAGAAAGTGACTGCCTTGTGGCCCACGCTGAGAGAGATGGCTCGGTACGGGAACCTCGCCTGCAAATCCGATCTCCAGGTACTGGCCGTGGCGCTGGCAGAGGAGTGCAGCACAGGCTGCCAGAGGTGCCGCAGCGGCCTGGGGCTCCTGCTGCATTTGGGCAGGTCACTTCGGCCAATGGTTTCTGAGCTGGCCGCTGATTTTAGCTGCCTAAATTGCCGGCGGATTCTCCCTGGCCATCGCCCTCTCTGCCTCGGTTTCCTAGTCTGTGGGGTGGGCAGGGATGCTTCCCTTCCTCGGAGAAGTACAGGGGAGAAGGGCCACCTGCTGGGACGTTTGGTGGGTTGGCCTGAGCCTCGGCACCTGGAGGGGATCCACGTCCGGGCCAGGTCCCTGGGGTGGTAGAGCAGCCTCGGGCTGTGGAGGATGGTGGAGCTGGGCCGATTGGCGGAGCGCCTCACGCGCCTTCCTCGCTTGCCTGCAGGTGGGGGCGTGTTTGGGGCCTCTTTCAACGTGGTCACCAACCTGAAAGACGTTGCGGACGAAGCCTTCAGGGAGGAGGTTGGTCGCCCTTCAGCCATGCCCCAGGCCCTCGCTGGGGACACGCGGCCCTGAGTGGCATGCCCCTGCCCCTGCCCAGGGCTGTGGCCGCTGCAGGAGCGATGTCAGGAGAAGGCACTGCTGGCTAGAATTGCCCCTGCTGCAGGAGTCCTAGTGCCCTGGTCCATACCTGCTCCTGGTCCTTGCTGCAGCCTGGGAACAGCTGCAGGCCAGCTCTCCTGCTCCCTGGCCTGCCTCAGGGCTCTTGCTGGGAGTGGGGCAGAGGCCCCTGGAAGTAGGCCTTGCGAAGGGGGATGCAGCCTGCTTAGCCCTGTGCATGGTGCACACAGTCCATCCCCAGCCTTCCGGAGCCATGCTGGGGCGCAGGCTTCCGGGGAGCAATTCACGCTGCTGCACCAGTGCAGGCTGGCCCGTCTGCCTCTCCGCCAGGGCCCGGGCTGCCCTTGGGAATGTAACCCAAGGAGCACGTTCCAGAGGAGGAGAAGCACAGTCGCTGCACTGCAGCCAACCCTGAGCCATCCCAGCGAAACACCAGCCCTTCTCCGGCTGGGTCACCGGTGCGGCCCTTCGGTATCTGGGGCACTTCAGGGCACCGGAGCAATCGGGAGCCTGCTGGAGCTGGAAGCTGAGACAGCCCCGTTGTCCTGCAGTGTGGGACTCTGCTCTGACTCCAGCCCCCCGAGCCTCTCCCTGGGGCCTGGTTCGGGGGTGCTCTGCCTGCGGAGGGGCAGGGTTTTTTCTCCTTTCCCCTGTTGTGTGCTGGCCCGTTGCGTGCTGGGCTCCTGGCATGGGGAAGCTGAGATGTGAGGGGGGAGGAGCAGCGAGCCCGGGGCCTGCAGCAAGCTGTTGAGCCACTGGGCAAGTTTCAGATGTGCCCGAGGGACTCAGTGTGCAAACGCTGAGCTGTAGGCGCCGAAGTCACTGAGGTGCTTTGAAATGGGCCTTTCCCCTGTTGTGTGCTGGCCCGTTGCGTGCTGGGCTCCTGGCATGGGGAAGCTGAGATGTGAGGGGGGAGGAGCAGCGAGCCCGGGGCCTGCAGCAAGCTGTTGAGCCACTGGGCAAGTTTCAGATGTGCCCGAGGGACTCAGTGTGCAAACGCTGAGCTGTAGGCGCCGAAGTCACTGAGGTGCTTTGAAATGGGCCGTGCTGCTGGCCCCCGCGGGAGCCAGGCTGCTGAGCGGCACTGTGCGGGCGGGGGGGGGGGGCTGGGGGGG